GTGTTAACATCAGCTGTCAAATTTTTTAAAATCTACTTTGAGACGATTTTCACATTAGTAATTTAACCTTCAGATATCTTCCTGCATGTGTGGAATGGCTTGGACATTGACAGAATGTTAATTGAATCTGTCACACACACACCTCAAATACAGAAGGTTTAAAACTATCACAAAGCATTGTAAAGACCTTTCCAGTTTTGTCAAATAGTAAGATCAACAAGAAAGAAAGAAGTTTTAGAACTATAACACTCAAGCATCACAAGCATCAATGACGCATCAAAACATATCGGCGACATGTCATATTTTTCACAAACACCTCAAATACACCCTAACAACTTTTTTAAAATCATGAAACTATCTCTATTACTCGCAAACACCTTTCACCTGATGGTATATTCCCTCATAAAAATTAAAGGTGTATGTGAAAGAAGTTTTTAGAATAATAACTAGAAACACTCACACATCGCCCTGTAGTATTTCACTGGCGGTTCAGATCAGATCGGCGATATGTCATATTTTTCACACACCTCAAATACACCCTAACACATTTTTTTTTAAATTATAAAACTATCACAATTGCTTTCAAACACCTTTCAACTAAAGGTATATTTCCCTTCTAAAAATTAAACGAATATGTGAAAGAACTTTTTATCGATAGAATTTAGTCTTTCTTCGCTGTGTATGGAGAATAGAAGCCAGTGAGCTACAACATGCCGACTTGAAACTTTACTACAAATGTACTGTACTAATACTGACACTAATAACAAATATTTGACTTAAAATGAAGTGACAGAATAGGTGACTTTCCTTCTACATGTAGGTTTTCAGTTGTCACAACACTCAGCGAATGTAATCAGCTCTTGAAAATAAATCAGATTCAATCGTAAACATTAAGCTGAAGCCATATTGGCTAAACTGGTCACGTGACCAGTCGAGGCATACCCTAAGAGGCTTGACGAGGAGAGACCACTCCCGTCTCCTATTCTCCCTGGATAAACATAAAGAGCGTCGAGCTACACTTCGGTTGTGTCACGATTTAGAAATTACTGAGATAAAAGGTGCGTGAGTCCCCTTTAAATCAGCAAGATAAAACGCAGACAAATCTATAATATTCATACAAACAGTGAACGTTAACAAATAGTGAATGGCAGTACAGATTTCTAATACAATACAGTTGGGTCACAACACTAACATATTATCTAAATGTCTATAGTGACCAGAGTCTTGATCCTGGAAGATGTACTGATTGACGTTTGTTGTCAACTGTTCAATGTCGACGAGGCCTTGAAACGTTAATGTTGGAAGACAGATGAGCGTAAATCCAAAGTCGTCCCCGTCATGCATCTCAGCAACCATCCCTTATATACCTGTTGTACAGTTCTAGAGTGTTCTAACAAAGCCATGCCACACCACCAACTTCTCATAGCTTCCAGAACCAAACGAAGACGGAAAGCCAATCCAACCAAGGTAGGAAACTCCTCAGCTTACTCTTAACAGGTGAAAATACATAGCCTCACTGTGTGAGTTCAAATCCACATTCGGGCAGTGGGGTAGCCCAGTGGTTACAGCGTTGGCTCGTCACGCAGGAAGACCCGGGTTCGAATCCCCACATGGGTACAATGTGTGAAGCCAATTTCTGGTGTCCCCCGCCGTGATATTTCTGGAATATTGCTTAAAGCGGCGTAAAACCAAACTCACTCACTCACTCAAATCCACATTCAGCGCTTTAAACTTTTGTGACCCATAATAACTAAAAGTTAATTAATGTGACACCACAATTAACAAAAACACACCCTCATAACAGTTGCTTAAGGTGGTGGTTTTTTTTAGAAAATCTCCTTATTCACAGGTTAGGACTTACTAATTCGACAGGGGAAAAATATTGTCATTGATTGATTCCAATTATTATCTGGCTGGTGTTTTCATGGATCATTTCATGACCCTTCTACATTTTCAAAGAGAGTGCTAAAAATTGAAATAATTTAGTTGTTGAGGAACCAGTTCTAGGCAGGGAGCAGTTGGTGAGGTTACGTTGAGAAAATACAGAACTTTTAGAACAAGCTGGCACGGCTCCAGTTTGACAATTATTTGAAGGATAGCAGTCATCAGATGTGCCTGCTAATAATGAATGGAAGTTTTTTAGATATAATGTATTTTGTTTAACATCTACGAATAGTTTCTTTTTTTTTCAAAAATAGAACAGTTTCAGAGAGTGGTTCATAAACACATGTTCACGTAATAGTCAGAATAGTACAATCGATTTTGTTCTAAGCAGTGATTTCCTTTTTGATGCGGAAAGTGTATGTAGGTTTTAGTCGCCTAGCGTTTAAGCATTTAAGTACCTCTCAAATCAGTTAAAGTATCTCTCAAATCAGTTAAAGTATCTCTCAAAATCAGTAAAAGTATTTCTCAAATCAGTTAAAGTATCTCTCAAATCAGTTACTGAAATGGTGTATGCGTATCTATCTGGCAATTACATCATACTGACATCAGTTGTAAATCCCTGAGCAAAGAAACATGCTATTTCGGCCGGAAAGTATGAAATCTAAATAACATATGGAACATAAGAGAACCCATCAACACCTCCTGATGACGATTTTTCCACACGAAAGTAAAGCGGTACGATATGTCGGTATTCATTGTGTGGAACTGGTGGATATCTACATAGAATATGGTAGATGTGAGAGATTGTACGTGCGCCTCAGGTGTCTGACCAGTGATCTTCTCGGCAGTTTGATTCTCGATAGTTTTCTTTGAAGTGCATAGATTGTTACCTTGACGCGACCCTTCCAACACAGCAATGTGATCATTTAATTGTGTTATATCTTGTGCAAAAAGTTGGCAAGATGCATACACTGAAATGTGGATCAGGTTGTCAGGATACATAGACGGAAATGGGTTTCAGGCTGTCAGGATACATTTACTGAAATGGGAGTCAGGTTGTCAAGAAATACATGTTTTAATCAAGTTGTTAAAACAATTAAAATGCAAAACCTAAATTATCCATACACATTGACCTTTTCACCCATGACTTATTGCATGAAAACAAGATGTATTGTTAAGTTTTAATCAAATTAATGTTAATGAATAATATCTATAAGCTCAATAAAACACATTAATTATTTCCTGAAATATATGTATAATTTCTTCTCATTACACACATTCTGTATGCATTGATATCCATTTTTTGTTTAGATTGATTAATAAATCATACAAACTACAAACAATGCGCCTCCGGGATGACCTTAGCAATGAATTTGAATTACAGCCGTTAAAAAGGAAAAGTTTCACACAAATAATGCATAAAGAGAAATGTTGTCGAGTACATACGCCACTGGATAGGACGCATTTTAACTGTCAACGCAAAAATGTTACTTGTTCCAAATCCCGGTACGGCCAGTTCCTCTTGATAACTGACGCAGAGGGGGCACGAGTTTTCAGTGATACATTCACATGATTTTCACAGCTAATTGTCCCGTTACACCAAACGGAGGTTGTTTCTGAAGGTGGTTAGCTAGGTTTTCTGTTGCAATGACATTTTTATTTAAGTAGTTTCAGTAACGGGTAAGCAGTCCAGACATATTGGAAGTGTTGCCAACTGTCATACTGAAAGCCTTGTTCCTGTATTAGAAACACTATTTCCCATCTACATGATACAGATAAGAGCCATCGTCTCCACGTGCCGACGAGAGCATTGATGAGGGTAGGCCCGCCAGCTTGGCGACGGACCCATCTAGGTTGTTGAGACGAGGGGCGTTATTCACGTTCGTTATTCACGTTCGCTTTGTTCACGGATAGGTCAAGGATGGTATTAACCGTGATGCTAGGTTGGTCAGGGCTGTTTTTCACCTCTTTGATGTATGAGAGCGTTTATCCCCCTTTGACGATAGACGGGTGTGTGTGTGTGTGTGTGTGTTGTGCACCTCTTGTGCGATAGAGAGATGTGTTTGCAGGCGATAGAGAGATCAACAGCATATGTTCTTTGTGTGGAATGAGATTTTAAAATATACTTCACACAAATTAGGAGATGACATTGAGTACAGAAGTTATGTAATCCAAAACTTTACACTTCATGTGTTTTAGCGTAGAGCAAATACATCATCATCCAAAGAGATACAGGTTAGCTGTGTCCTGAATTATCGTATTTGCCGAATTAAGAGTCATATAAGCATTAACCAATTATATGTAAACATACTATTGTTCATTGATGTGGACGTGGACGTATGTAAAGAGCCAAGTATGAAGACCTCTGCTCCACAACCACAGGCAGGCTCGCTGACTTGGTTGACACATGCCTTCGGTTCCCAATTGCGCAGATTGATGCTCATGCTGTTGATCACTGGATTGTCTGGTCCAGACTCGATTTTTACAGACCGCCGCCATATAGCTGGAATATTGCTGAGTGCGGCGTAAAACTAAACTCAACTCACTCACTCACCCACGACCACAGCTTTGTCACATACCAATTACTGAAAAGTGCTCGAACCCTACAGGTTACACACCACCAAATGTTTTCCATAGACTCCTATAGTAACCTTATAATTTTTTTTAAAATAGACAGGCTATCAACAGCCATTCCATGTACACATGGGTACACTCTGGCCTTTAAACTACCATAAAACACAATATCTGGCCAACTTGTCCGGCTCGTTTTGCGAGCACAGGAAGCGAAACATCAACCCCAGTTCCGCACCAAATGTCACCTACTGGAAAATATCTGTACACACAATAAGCATAAGTGATGGTGATAAAAATGACAGCACTAAATACTTAAAATTGTGGTCAGTTTTAATTACTGGTTGGATGTGCTTTTAAAAAACAAACATCTTACACTATTTCATCCAATCACAGCTGTCACATGTCTCTGTCTCTCTTGACTTGTTTACATACGGACCGGCTCAGCGAGCAAGCGATACTGATTTAGTGTAGTGGAACCGGCTCAGCGAGCAAGTGATACTGATTTAGTGTAGTGGAACCTTGATATTGCTGTGTGTTTTGGCAGCTTTGCGAAAGAGCGACGACTCCCTTCAACATGGAGATCTTGGGCCTCGTGGACGTCCCGTTGTATGTCCTTCTAACCCTGGCGGTGGCTGTGCTGATCTATATGTGGGTAGACAATATATGTATTACTTACGTGGACCACGTATCTCAAGACGAATGTGACAGGCTCGTGTGTGGTAATCAATAGAGACTGCGTAGGCAAGGCATCGTCAGGATGAGTCGCTATGCACGATCCGAGTTCTCGTCAAATGTACGTTTAGAACTGACATGCCCCGTTAATGGAGGTACAGAAGTAAACACTGGTGTGTACACTCATTACACTGAGCTCATGCAGCGCTTTGGAGCAGTCTTCTGAAGACTGGATATTAGCGCTGTATGTATGTCTGTCTGTCTGTCTGTCTTTCTGTATGTGTCTGTATGTATGTATCTGTATATATAGAGAATACTACACGAGGTCTCATTACATACGAATTATACGAAACTCGTGACCTTCCTATGTTATAATATGTGTTTCCAACAGGTGACAATATCTGATTTAGAATGTTTCATTATATCTGTAAATGTATTAGCGTATATATTCATGTATTCATTTGTCCTGGCAAAACAAAATACTGGTGTACTCTAAACAAAATCGTTACGCTCCACTCAACTGAATATTGCCATCAGGTACTGCCACAGATGTCAGATAATTCTTTCGCGGGAAAGTTTCATTATTTATATCATTCTATGCAGTATCAAACATAATGAATTCCTGTGTAGCATGACGTCTTCTTTAAAAAAGCATTTGTACCGTAGACACAAGCTATGTTAAATGGTTTTAGACCAGTTGTTAATCATCGACAATACTTCATGACTACGAGTGAGTGAGTGCGTGCGTGTATGCGTGAGTGCGTGAGTTACTGAGTCCATTTTTCCTAATATTCTCAGCAATATCACTATGGCGAAAGGGTTACCCGTACTGAGAATCAAACCCTGGCCTTCCGCACGACGAGCCAACGCTTTAACCACAAGGCTACTCCATCACCACCGGTCATGCGCGTCTGTTTCAAACTTTGTGTAAACCCTATCATTGTTTGACACTGAAGCGATGTGTAGAGCAGTTATCACAAAGCTATGGGACATAGTGCACAGCCTGTTAAGTGGGATACATCGATGTGTACGATGCATGTGAACGCCGGGTTTTTCTCACAGTCTCTCATCCATAATATTTTCCGTCCACCCAGCTCCACTTGTAATGCAAAAAGCCCTTACAAAAATATTGGTCCTGCATGATTTTCCTCTGGCATGAAAGAATACATGATTCGTTGGTTACAACTTGTGCCTACCCACAAACATAAGTGCTTTGTCACGGGTTATGGAGGTACGTGATGCATACATACATACCCGTGAAACACTGATGATGGTTCTTTCATAATGTTTCCTTTGGGTTGGGGTTTTAAAAACAATGTTTTAATTGTTTTTTCTCGATGTAACACGTTTTTCCTAGTTTGGCCTTTTCCCCGAGGATTTACAATCTTCAAAATTGCCCTTTATATTATGTGATACGGTACTGACATAGAGAATACTACAATCGGTCTCATTACATACGAATTATACGAAACGAGTGTCCTTCCTATGGTATCTGACCGAGCGAAAGCGAGGTCAGAAACCATAGGAAAGTAATGAGACTGAGTGTGGTATTTTATTTATTACCCACGTCTTACATGCATTGAATAGACAAAATAGCCTTATTTTTCTTATTATGGTTTCATAAAGAGGTTGCGGAAGATTTTTGTTCTGTCGTACACTTTTGCATGACGTCACACTGTATTGACGTCACTACGCCATTCTCGTCTGTCCCCTTGGTAACCGACGTCACGATGCATGTCAGTTGTCATCGCCTCTCGTACAGCCTCCTACAGTAAACTACTCCGTAGCACCCCGTTTCTTGGTTTGCAACTGCTTCACTCGGCTAACATTACTGGTGGAAACATTGCGTTTATGTTTTTCGACGGATATAAGGTCTCAGTTCGACTCACAATATTAAACAGCGACACGGCAACGTTCGCAATGTTTACATTCCCACAATGCATCTAAGTTGTAAAATGAATGAATTCACGTGTTTGTTATGAATGAACAAGTAGTTCCGTCACAACGTGACCTAACTGAGAGGTCATCGGTTATCCAATCAAATCGTTAGAATCTCAGGTCAAGTCGTTACGACACAGGTCAACGCGATACGACACTCGTGTGACGTACGAGATTAGTATGCAACTGCCCATACGTTGACCACGTGGGTAATAAATAGAGAATACTACACGAGGTCACATTACATACGAATTATACGAAACGAGTGTCCTTCCTATGGTATCTGACCGAGCGAAAGCGATCGTATAAGTTTATAAGTTTCGTATAATTCGTATGTAATGAGACCGAGTGTGGTATTTTATGTATTACCCACGTCTTACATGCATTAAATTGACAAAATAGCGTATTTTTGTTATTTTTGTGGTTTCATAAGAGGTTGCGGAAGAGTTTTGTACTGTAGTACAATATCTGCATGACGTCACACTGTAATGACGTCACTGCCTTGGTAACCGACGTCACGATGCATGTCAGTTGTTATCGCCTCGTACGGCCTCCTGCAGTAACCTACTCCGTAGCACCCCGTTTCTTGGTTTGTAGTTGCTTCATTCGGCTAACATCACTGGTGGAAACATTGGGTTTATGTTTTTCGAGTTTTGTACTGTAGTACAATATCTGCATGACGTCACACTGTAATGACGTCACTGCCTTGGTAACCGACGTCACGATGCATGTCAGTTGTTATCGCCTCGTACGGCCTCCTACAGTAACCTACTCCGTAGCACCCCGTTTCTTGGTTTGTAGTTGCTTCATTCGGCTAACATCACTGGTGGAAACATTGGGTTTATGTTTTTCGACGGATATGTATGTATGTATGTATGTGTGTGTGTGTGTGTGTGTGTGTGTGTGTGTGTGTGTGTGTGTGTGTGTGTGTATGCATGTATGTACAGTACAACCAGAAATTATTGAGAATTTAAAGATTGTAAATTTTTTATTGTCTTCACTCATTACTCACGTATTAAATGTGAATATTAGCAGAACAGACCTCCAGATTCAAGGACAGGTGAACAGTTAGTATTTTGTCAAGTATTTTGCAGGCATCAATGCGGCGGGGCATACTACTGATCAAAGAAGTTAGAAAGTCGTGGTCCATGCTGTCCCAATATCGGACCACCTCTTCTTTCATTTCAGCAATATATGTCAGATTTTTCTTATTTACACTTTCCTTCATAAGTCCCCAAACATTTTCTATTGGATTTAGGTCAGGGCTATAGCTTGGCCAATCTAATAATGTCATATTTTGGGTCCGAAACCAGGCCTGTGAATGCTTTGAACGATGTTTTGGGTCGTTGTCCTGCTGGAAAATCCAAAAATTTCCATAGAACACGTGAGCAGATGAAAGTGAGTGAGTGAGTTAATATTTAACGTCACATCGGCAATATTTCAGCCATATCGTGACGAGAACATTTGATATTGAAGTGAAAAATATGTATATTATAAAAAAACCTGCCAACGAAGGGCAGTAAAACAACTAGAATATCACATATACAGATAAAACTAGTAATAGAGTCTAAAACATTTTAACCACAGGGGACAACACAATATAAAAATGGGCTATAGATCACCAACAACTGAAAGTAGGTCACCATACTAGGGTCCATGGGGACTTACAGTACCTTTGCTACCTGCATGGACCCTAGTCGGATTTACACCATCCCTTCAACCGCTGGTGATTGTAGGATAATTTAGCCAAAATCTAAATGAACGAAAATACTACGTTTAAAACTTGGTATGTGAAAATTCTACTTTTGAAGTTTTGGGACTTACATACCCTCTCAGGAGGACAATAATTTTACGCTACTTCAACCCCTTTGAGGGTACAGCCACTAACAATCTAAGTTACTAATCTAAACTACCAATCATTAAAATACATCTAGCTACAGAACATGTTAATCAGAATTCATCAATGAAGTCAATTTCTTTTAAAAACCAATAACTAAATGAGAATTAACAGTAGTAAAAGATCCTTAAGTGTTTTACACTGAAATACTTATCCCTTATGATGGAGAATTCAACACAGTCAAGCAGGATATGCTTGACCGTAACTCTTTCATCACAAGGGATACAAAACGGAGGATCTTCACCTTTTAGCAAGTATTTATGAGTATAACGCGTATGGCCAATGCGACATCGTCGCATAATGACCTCTTGAAATCTGGACTGGCAACCCAAGTAGGTATAACCGATGGTTGGTTTAATTGCATGTAATGTATTGATACCTACTTGGGCATCCCACTTCTTTTGCATAAGATCACGGATGTAAGTTCTAATGCGAGCTTTATAATCAGAATATGGAATAAGAAGTGGTGTCACCGATTTGTTGAGGGCTGCCTTGGCAGCAAGATCAGCCATTGTGTTCCCAGAAATGCCAACGTGGCTGGGTAACCAACAAAAGACGATGTCGCATTGGCCAGTAGCAAGATCATTATATAATTCGATTATTTCAATTAAAAGTGGATGTTTGCAAGAGAGATTTTTAATAGCCTGAAGGCAAGAAAGAGAGTCAGAAAATATTCTATATTGTTTATGTTTGGGATGGCTTTGAATAAATTTAAGAGCTGTTAAGATGGCGTTTGCTTCTGCTGTAAATATAGAGCTGTTATCCGGTATTCTAGAAGATATTGTTCTGGATCCAATAACAGTGGCACATGCCACTGCGCCACCATCCTTGGACCCATCTGTAAATAAGGATTTATATGTATTATGTTTACTTTTTAATTGATTATATTCTTGTTTATATTGTAATTCATTAGTTACAGATTTCTTAAACTTTGTCAGAGTTAGGTCAACTTGTGGCCTCACCAGTTGCCAAGGCGGAGAAGAAAGAAGACGGGAAGGAGCTATATTTGCGAGCTCAATGCCGGCAGCAGGAATAAAGGGCTTAATTCTGTGCCCAAGAGGCGGAACAAGAGAAGGTTTTTTGTTGTATAAATCCTCATAGAGGGGATTAAAGACACAGTTAAATGCAGGATTAGACTCGT